GGGGGGGGGCGGGGTGTTACCCAAAGTGCTACCCCCCCCCGGAAAATCCCCCCCTCCCCTGCCAGAGTTTCCACCCCAGCACAAGTCATATCAAGTCCAGGAACCCAGACCAGGCTGTGGGGGGGGTCACAGTCCGACGTCCCCCCAGCAGCCCCGCAGCCGCCTCATGCATGCCCTGGCCGGACGCTGTCATCCCACCGAGACTCCCCCAGCCCCCAGCAAGAGGTGTTGGGGCTGGGGTACCTGCTGCGCTGCAAGGGGGGCGTGAAGGGGGGGCACAGCGCGGGGCCCTCCAGGGACACGTCCTGCAGGAACTGGTCGAAGTCCGAGCTGTGCGGCAGGTCCATGCTGGGCGGCATCCTGGAGAGAGAGGCAGCAGGGTGACTCGGGGCAACTCCCCTGGCCCCCCTGCGGACCCCCCGTGCTTACCACCTTGGGGAGCTCTGCAGCGGCGGGTCCACCATTTGCGTGAACGGGGCCAGTTCGGGCATCTCCTCATCCTGTGGCTCTGGTGAGGGGCCCCCAGACAGCAGCTGCGAGGCCTCCCCCGTCATGTACTGGTTGGGCATGAAGGGCCTGCGGGGCAAAGAATGGGGGGGGCTGACGTAGGCCATGGGGTACCTTCCTGCCCCCAGGGTGCTTGCTAGCCCCAAGGCATAGCGGGGAAGTGCTTGGTTTGGGGGGCTGGCGTGGGTCTCCTTTAGGGAGCACCAGTAGTGCAGAGCCACAGGGTCAGCTGGGGAAGGTCCCTCCAGGTATGCTTGCCCCGTGGCCACGGGGTGGTCAGGAGAAGGGGGGGCAGGGCAGGGTGCCCCTCTCCAGCCGTGTGCCAGGTCTTACAAGGGGTTCCCGAAGGCAAGGTCTTGGCAGCGGGGCAGTGCGGGGTCCATGACCAGGGACGGCGAGAGCATCGGTGATGTGCTGCAGGGAGGAGAAGCAGGAGAACTTAGCGGTGGGGGAAACACCTCCCGCCCCCTGCCCTGAACTGCACTGCTCCTACCTGGGGAAGGAGGACTGGAGGTTGTCGGAGACCATCATGTTGATGTTGCTCTCACCTGCAGGGTAGCCTGTGGGGATGGGCTGGGGGCAGAAGGGAGCAGGGGGGCTGCAAGCACAGACACAGAGGGGTTAGCATCCAAGGGTGTTCTCCGCCACAGCCCGCTCCCACCCCAGCACATGCCCGGCAGAGCAGGTCTGCTTCTGCCCAGGGCACAGCCAGGCACAGCGCCGGGCACTCACCACATGGGGCTGAGCACTGACTGCAGGCTCTCCGGGTGCAGCTCGGGCTGCAGCATGGGCAGGCTGAACATCTGAGCCTGGGGGGTCTCACGGGGGCCCCCTCCAGCACTCTGGGGCTGCTGGTCCCTGCAAACGTGCGTCATCCCCATCAACACAGGCAGGACTCGTGCACTGCAAGGTCCAGCCTCCAAAGAGGCACATGTGCAAGACAGTGCTTGCTCACGGAGAGGGCAGCACACTCGCAGATGCTCCACTGCAGCTTGGGATACCCACAGGGGATTCCTTGCTCACAAGCACATCCCCATCTTGCCCGGTCAGAAACGCACCTGCCCAGCAAGGATGCACGGGCTGGCCTGGTGAGGTCTGTGCAAGCCCTGGCCCGGTGCAGCTCGGCCCCATGGAGGGCAGTGCCTGTGCGCACACCTCCAGCACAGCCACGGCCTCACTCGCGCACCCACCTTTCGCTTTCCACTGTCATCTTGATGGCGGTGGAGACGTAGCCCCGGCCATCCTTGCCCGTCTGCTCTTCTACTCGGAGAGGAGAAGCATCCATGAACCACCAGCCCAGCACAGGGCCATGCCGTGCCAACCCCCTTTGCCAGCACTGCCCCCCCCCTGCAAGCTCTGAGGCCATCAGGTCCTGGGTGGGACCCAAATCCCTCTTCGCTCCAAACCCCCCCGGATTCTCTCCGTGGCATTGCTGGGGAGGCAGATCTGAAACCCAGGGCCCATCTTTGCTCCCACCCACTCACTGTTGTAGTGACTCCCGAATGCCTGGTCCTTGGGGGTGTTGGGGTAGAGGTTGCGGAGCTGCCCCAGATCGCGGATGCGGTCGCCGAGGGACCGGATGGACAGGTCCTTGGCAGAGAAGGGCTGGATGTTCTCCACCTGGCTGGACCCTGTGGGGAGACACGGCACAGGGCTCCATCGCCTAGTCCCCATAATGCCTGACATCCCCAGGCCACGATGACACCTCCCCTTCACAGCACTGAGAGCAGCCGCTGTCCTCCCATCTCACCGTCCTTGCCCCGGATGACGTGAGCGATAGTGACGCCTCCAATCTCCGAGTCACTGAAGCGCAGCAGGAAGGTCCCGTCAGGCTCTGTGCTCAGGAGCTTGCAGACGTACTGTTTGCTGATGAAGCCGATGATGAGCCTAGAGGGATGGACAGATGGAGAGTGGGCCAGCGCCAGGGCAGAGGGGCGTGGATCAGGACTCCCCAGGTCTGGCCCCAGAGCAGCCGTGAAAACCCGCTTGGCCCCTGGGCACCCACCTGTCTGACCAGTAACTTTTGAGGCACCTCTTGGTGAGGTCGAGGACTCCATCAAACCACTGCCAGAAGGTGAATCCCCGACCAGGCAGGATCTCCTGGGGCAGAAAGAGGGTGTGAGGCTCCCCAAAGCCACGCAGACCCCTGCCCACCCTGGCCAGCCTTCCCAGTAACCTTGTTGAACTGGGCCCAGGAGACGCTGCGGCTCTGAAAGTCCTCAAGGCTGGCGCTGTGGTCGCTAAAGATCTTCTGGGCCAGGAAGAAGTAGTGCTCCTTGAGAAGCCCCTTGGTGGTCTGCACCTCTGCCATGAACTTCAGGTTCAGCGTATCACACATCTTCTCCCAGGGCACCCGCTCAGCCACCACGAAGGGCACCCGGTCCTGCGGCAGGGCCGGACGGCATCAAGACAGCGGCTCACCTGCTGCCCCGTCCCAGCCCACCACATCCCACCCGCATGCTGGGGTTCCTGCTCCAGCCTACTGGCCATTCCCCTCCCAGAGCCAGACCCGACCCCGGCATCCCAGCAGCTCCTCTCCTCACCCTGTGGCCCTTCCCTCTGGCTCGTGGTACTCACAATCTCGGAGAAGGCATTATCCCACAGCACGGTTGCTTTGGCATTATTGTCCTGGTTCCCATGGACAATGACCACGATGGGCAGAGACAGGACCTGGGGGCAGAGAGCAGCCCCCCCTCAGCCCCGAGGCCACCCCAAGTGAAGTGGGGCTGGCTGCCCTGGGACCGTTGCAGGGGCTCTGCACTGAGCTGTCCGGGACAGGGCCTGGGTATCCAGCAGGGGACGGCTCAGCATTGCCCAGCCCTGTCCCATGGGAGAGGGTCTGGTACCTGGAGGTGGACGGAGAGGTTGCTGGGGGTCAGGGCCACGCTGGTGCTGAATAGGACGGCACACTTCTCCTCTGTCACTGACTCGGACCCCTTCCGCTCGCAGCGCTTGATCTTCTTCAGCAGCTAGGGAGGGGAGAGCTGAGCATCGCTCCTGGGCAAGCACTGGCCTTGGGGCTCCCAGCGCACCCTCCCCCAGCAGGCCCTCCCCTGGGGCCTCCCAGCACCCCAGCGGAGCCCCCAGCCCGTCCCATGGCCCCCGTATGGCCCCTCACTGGTGGCACTCACCACGTTCTTGAAGTTGGCACAGCAGGTCCCACTGGTGGGGTTGGTCTCCAGGGCCACCACATTATGCATGATCTCCCCCGTGCTCTCACTAGGCAGAGGAGGGGGTCGGGGGGGCGCGGTGGTGTGGCAGCCCCCTTCTCCACGTGCTGGCCAGCGAGCCACTCACCTGAGGGTGTTGTTGTAGGCGCTGAGCGCCAGCTCCCGTGCCTGCTTCTCCGTCACCATGTCGGCCCGCACCATGTAGGGCTTGGCCGATGCCTTCAGCAGCTGGGGGCCCAGCAGGAACCGGACACTCGCCTGGAACTTGGTCTGGGTCTTCAGCACCTGTGGGGGCTGCTTCTCCACCAGGAAGGAGCTGGGGGACAAGGGGAGAAAATGGTGCCTGGCACAACACCCCTGCCAGCTCTGCCACCAACCTCTGCAGACCCACCTCACCCCTCTGCCACCACGGCCCCCCCACCCGTTACCTCTTGACCAGGCTGGATAACACCTCGTTGAACCGCTCTAGGAGCCGGGGCAGCAGCTCAGCCCCCAGCTCTGCGCTCACTGCCATCACCTGCTGGTGCAGCTGGAAGTAAACCTCGACCAGGCTCTCGCACCTGCCGAGGGAACCACAGGGAAAGGGGCACCCTCAGCCACAGCAGAGCTGGACCACCACTCTCCCAGACCCCCTCAAGCCAGTGGGGTCCCCACTCCAAGGGGAGCAGAGGGGGCAGGAGGGTTGCTCTGGGCCCCCCATCTCTGCCCCCTGCCGCCTCACCTCTTCTGCAGCGGAGCTAGGTTCTCCTCAAAGAGGGCCCCATTCCCTGCCAGCTGCTGCTGCCTCTTCCAGATTTGGATCCTCTTCAGTACCTGCTGCTTGGCCACCTCCAGCTCTTTCACAGCCTCCAGGATCAGGGCGGGCAGCTCCTGGGGGGCAGTACTGGCCATGGGGATCTGCACTGCACTGTCCCCCCAGCAGAGACCCGCAGCCCTACGCTGTCCCCCCACAGGGCACCGAGACCCCTGACCCTGCACTGCCTCGCTGCCCCAGAGCTGGCTTGCACCTTCCCTGGCAGGCAGGGCTGCCGGCTTTCCCCCTGGTGCCCCAGACCTCCACTCACGCTCTCCGGGGGTTTTGCTTCTGTCTTCAGCTGCGGAGAGGCTGCGGAGGAAGGACAGGGGTGGCCCCATTAGTGCAGGGAGCCAGTGTCTGCATTGCACTGCCCAGCACCCCGGGGGGGGCACGCCACCTTCGCCGCACCCCGTGGCAGATCCACACCGAGCAGGGACCCATCCTGCCCCGGCCCCTCACCTGTGGGGCCGTCCCGCAGTGCCTGGATCTCGCGGACACGGTGCTGCAGCCGCTGCAGCCCCAGGCTGAACTTCAGCTCCTCCTGCCGCCGGTGGAAGCTGAGGGGCAGGTGGCGGTCCTGGGGCAGAGCAGAGCGGGGTGAGTGGGGCCCGGAGCTGGCCCCGTGCCTCGGGGCGCCCTGGGAGCGGGGCAGGGACCACACACCCTCTTGAGCACGGCGGCCTTCTCACCCTCCAGGATCGCTTTCAGGACGGCCACCAGCCGCAGTGGGTCCCGCCGGTAGGTGTTCTGCGGGGGAACCAAGCCCAGGGCCTTAGCGGGGCAGGACACACGCACCCCAGCCCCAGCCCCCTCCTACCCCATTCATGTGTTTCAGGCCCTCTTCCCACAATGAACGGTGCTAAGTCAGACTGTGGGATTTCATGACCCAAAGCGCAGGACAGACCACAACTCGCCACTGTTCTGACAGAGCTAATTTCCAGCTTTAAAACCACTTTAAACTGTGCATAAAGAAAAAATATGAATCACCTTCAAATAAAAAAAAATCAAAACAAAGCAAATTCTCTATTTCTGCAAGCATCTCCTTGAGACCTGCCAGCCTGACACCTGGCCCGGGTGGATCAACGCTTTCCACCGAAAACAGCGAGAGGAATTTCCCTGCTGGCTCTGGCTCCCTGCACCCCGTGCCAGCTCCTCTGGCCTTCGCGCATTTCCCAAATTAGCTACTTCCCAAAACAGCAGCAGAGCACAAAGGCGAACCGCCAGATGGCATGCTCAGCAGCTTCCCGTGCTGGCCGGGAGGCAGCTCCGCCACCGACCCCCCCAGACCCCCTGCATCTGCCCCATGTCCTGACATAGCAAACCCTGCCAGCCCCGGGGTCCAGGTTTGGTCTCCCACCAGCCAGTTTCCCACCCTGCTTCCCCGGCCCTGCGTTTACCCATCTCAGAGGGCACCCAGCTCCCACCGCCTGCGCGGCAGCACCAACAGCCAGCGCTTCCACTGCCCTCCACGGAGAGAGGCCCCTGCCTCCCGGTTGGGCTCGGAAGCAGCAGGGAGCTCGGGCGAAATGAAGGCTGGCTGTTACGGGATGAGGAACAGTGGGAGGAAGGAACATGGGAGGGTGGCTCTTCTTCAGCATTTTAAATAAAAAAAACTAAGCTGAAACGTGCACATTTTCCTACAACAATTTAAAAAAGCAAGCAACAGTCTTGTTTTGGAAAATTACCCTTTTCCCCAGAAGTTATGACTAAAGCTGACCCCTTCCCAAATGTTATGTATTAAAAATGTCTGTTACCAAAAAAGCAGGGCTTTCAACCAGAACGCAGCTCTGGGAGCAAGCACCACTCAGCCCTTACGCTAAGAGCTTCGCTGGCAGGAGAGAGAGTACAGGGGTTAAATCTGCAGTCACAGAGGGTGAAAGAGAGACAGAGAGCAATACAAACAGACCTTGATAAAGAGAAACAGCCCAGAAAAAGAAACCCAGCATGCACACATGGCAGGAGGAAATGCAGCACAACGCATGGCACGGAGGAAGGAGAAATCAAACGCTCAAGCAGAAAATGGGGAACATCTGGCGAGGCGGCCGCCCAGGTGCTAGCAGCCGGGGACGAGCGGAGCCATGGGCCGTGGGGGGCCAACGCACTCAGGGGGCTCCCCACGGGGTCAGGGTCTGGCACGGGGCCCGGGAGGATGTGGCCATGGGGGGCAGCTCCCTGGGGGCCACCAGGCAGGGGTGGGGAGCCGAGGGGGGAACCATGATCGCGGCCGTGACAGCCCAAGTACCGTGGTGAGCAGGGGGTCAGCCCTGGGATGCAAACAAACCCCCTCCATCTCCCTGAAGTGCCCCAAAAACCCCAGTCGCTGAGTCCACACAAGCTTGTTACTCATGGACAGCGCTGGCCTTGAAACAGGTGTCAAGGGGGGACTGGCTTGTAGCATCAGCCCCTTCGAGCGGTGCTTGAACCAGCAAATCCGAAGCATAAAACAGTCAAATCTTCCTTGGCACCCAGCCATGATCACAGCACGACACAACCCCGAGGGTCCCCGCGCCCGGCCCCCATGCACCTCGATGCTGCTGACTTGCTGGAGGATCTGGCACTGCTGCTCGTTGCTGCCGGCAGCGCTGCGGAGCTTCTCCAGCATGGCCGAGAGCATCCCGCCGGCCACGTTGGTGCAGAAGGCATCCGAGCCATTGATGAACTCCCTGGAGAGGGGAAAGGGTTGGGTGGACGGGCACAAATCCTCCACCCTCCCCTGTGCAACCCTGAACCCCGTGCTAGCCCCAGGGAAGGGGACATCTGCCTTCCTGCGTCCTGGTGCGTTACCCAGTGCTGGCTGGATTTCTGAGGGAAATTTGCTGTGGGAACAAGGGCGAACCGTGCTCTGAGAAGGATGAGGCAGTTCCCCAGAAAGGACGTGACCTCCCCAAACCTCTCCACATGTACACCCAGCTGCTGCACGCCCACCCACCCACCTCCACCATGCCTCATCCCTGCAGAATGACCTCCACTGCTACGCCTTGGCCCGGGCTGTGGGTCCCAGAGCCGTGTGCCAGGGACCAGCCCCCCTCGCGCACTGCCGCAACGCAGCCTTGTGCGCTGCTCCTCTGACACCTGGCACAGCCAGGGCCCCGCGAGGCAGGAGGAAATGCCAGGGGAGCTTTCCTGAGCCCCGGTCATTGTACCATGCAAAGGAGGAGCTCCTTGGAAAGCCTGGGTGAGCCTATAACAGGGATAATCAATCATTGCTGTTATTATTTCCTAGGCACAGAAAGGAGACTCTGTCCAGGCTGTGCCCATGGTTGCTGCCACTGCAAACACAGAGTTGCAGCAGCCTAGACCCCGTGGGGCACTAATAGATCCTGACCAGCCTCACCCGGACAACTGCACTCTGCCCACGGGTCCAGGAGCTCCATTTGTGTCCAGTTCAGGGCCCTGAGGCCTTTCCTAAGCTACACTGCAAGCATGCCTGCCTCTGCCCCTGGCCCTGCCTGCAGCCCCATCTCCTGGATGGGCCCCTTGGACCAACGCTGTGGTCCTGCCTCCGGCCTCGTCTCCTTTTGCTCCTGACTGGACGCCCCGTGCAGACCCCAGCCTCCTCACCCACCTCGTCTGGGGCTGTGGACAGGGCCCATCACCAGCACCTGCCTCTGCCGGTGCATTCAGATCTGACGGTCAGGCGCTGCCCGGGCTGGCCCCCCCGAGTTTGGCTCAACCCCCCAGGGCAGCCGGCCCCAGATGCTGCCCAGGCTGATCACGGGTGTGCGGGGAGCTGTGCCGGGGCAGGGAAGAGCCCACGTGCACTGGGGGACTCACCAGGGCTGGTTCTCCAGCCAGTCAGCCAGGAGACAGCGCAGGCTGCGGGGAAACTCTGTGAAGAGGCCGCTGAACTCCTCCGGTGGCATGTGGGAGATGATGCTCCAGAGGGACATCTTGGGAACAGTCACCTGCGGAGAACCAGGAGAAGGGACGTGAGCAGGGCAGTCTGGGCACCGTGGGCAGCTGCAATGCCCAGCGCTGTGGCCCAGGTGCCCCAGAGACCCCAGTCCTCTGCTCGGCTCTGCTGGGGGCGAGCACCAATGGCTCCTCCGGGAGGGCGGGTGGGCGAGAGCTGCCACCCATCCCTCCGCTGTCTGAACCTGCTGCTTGGCAGGGCTGGGGCTGCTGGGGAGGAGGAGGAAGAGCAGGAAGCCCAATCCAGGATCAGCCTCTTGGGCAATCCTGGGCAGGCAGGCAGCCCACTTGTGCCTCAGTTTCCCACATCTCCGGGGAATTCCTGTGCCTCCTGCCGTGGACGATGCACAAGGATACGCTGAGGGATGGGCAAGCGCTCCCAGTCTTGGCGCAGGAGAGATGGGAGAGCCGCAGGGAGCCGGAAGAGTGTGAAACCCCAGAGCTTGGTGAGACTGCTCTGCTGGGGTGGTCTCAGTGAGACAGCCTGGCTGCTCCCCAAAACCTCCCCAGCCACCCCCTGAGGAAGGCGTCTTCCTGGGCATGCCCCAGCTGCCCCCCAGAAATGGTGGGCTCCGGAGCTCACGGAAAGCAAGAGGAGGACTGGAATGAGGTGCTAGATGGGAAACTCCAAGGGAAGGCCTGGGCTGAGGGGTCACAGCACAGCCCGGACCGCAGGTTCCCCACCATCCCCCCAGCTGGGCATTGCAACCCTGACAGTCCCC